TGAGGTCGGATTCCAAAATCAATTGTATATCCGGACTCGTCTCGGAATGGGTGTTCGGGCCGAGATTTGAGACGTGGGTCCCACTGCCGAATATTTTAATTAATTTCAGATTTTATTCGAAAATTAGTAAATTCATATGGTCCTATGATTCGTATTGAGTATATTGAATTGTTTTGAATAGATTTGAAGCTTTCGGAGACAAATTTAAAAGGAAAAGTTGTGGTTGAGTAATTGATTGGAATTTGCAAAGCGAGGTAAGTATCGTGGTTAACCTTGACTTGAGGGAATAGAACCCTTAAATTAATTGTTATATTAATTGCATGTGAACAACGTATAGGCGAGGTGACGAGTGCCTATACGTCGTCAAATTAATTATTTGCATAATTATTTGAAAATTCTAAATTTGTTTTAATATATGAATTAATTGTTATAATAATTGTTTCTCTCATATTCTTTGCCAAATATTAATTCTTAAATTCCTGTAATAATTGTTATATGCTTATTTGAATTACGTGCACTAGTTGCTACTTGACATTTAGCATATTAAATATTAAACTGTCTATTTTCTCCCTGATTTCTAAAATAAATTGTTATTGCCATTGTTTGTTCATAAATAAATTATAATTATTGTGTGCCTTGATGCTTAATAGTTTCTCATTGGATCTGGTATTTATTGGAGTAATTTTTATTTACATTATGAGCTGTTTAAAGTTATATATATTGGGGAAACGGGTTGCACGCCGCAACAGAAATGAAAGTATATATATATATATATATATATATATTGGGGGATTGGATTGCACACCACAATAGACTTATTTAAAAGTTAATATTGGGGGATCGGATTGCACATCGCAATAGACTTGTTTAAAAGTCAATATTGAGGGATCGGACTGCACGCCGCAATAGACTTATTTAAAAGTCAATATTGGGGGATCGGATTATACGTCGCAACAGACTTATTTAAAAGTCTATATATATACTTGATTGAAATAAATATATAACAGACTTGATTAAAATGAATATATTGTGAGAGCGGGTTGCACGCTGCAATAGAACTGAATGTGAATATATTGTGAGAGCGGGATGCACGCTGCAACAGAACTGAATGTGAATATATTGTGAGAGCGGGTTGTACGCTGCAACAGAATTGATGAAAATGATAATTGGTTATGACTGTTGAGTTGGCTTCAATTATTATAAACGAGTTACGTGATTTATTTCTATTATTATTGTTGTTGTTACTAATATTGCGTACAGGTAATGTAAGTGACCCGCCTTAGCCTCGTCACTACTTCGTCGAGGTTAGGCTCAGCACTTACCAGTATATTGGGTCGGTTGTACTGATACTACACTCTTCACTTCTTGTGCAGATTTTGGAGTTGGTCCCAGCGGCGTACCATAGACTTGCTCGGATTTCAGCTACTCAGAGGAGACTTGAGGTATAACTGCACGACGTTCGCAATTCTGAAGTCCCCGTCTACTTTACTTTAGTTGTGTGTTTGCTTCCACACAACTTTATTTTATTCAGACCTTTATTTGTATTTATTCTAGAAGTTCGTGCACTTGTGACACCAATTCTGGGATAGTATTTAGACACTGTTATTTTTATGGATTAATCACTATATTCCAGACCTTACTTCCGCGTTTATTTCTTTGTTATTAATAAATCTAAAGATTGTTTAAAAATTGGTTAATATCATTCTAACGTTGGTTTGCCTAGCAAGTGAAATGTTAGTCGCCATCACGGTCCGAAGGTAAAAATTTCGGGTTGTGACAATATATATATATATATATATATATATATCACCTTATTTAGCAAGTAGATGTTGATTGCATCCGAGTTAATTTTCCAGACGGCAAATGGCCAAATATATCTTTGTACTTTCGAAAATGGTTTAAGAATACCCTTCGTTATACTATTGGGTTATCTATGCCCCTGCCGTCATACTTTGGAACAAAAATACCCTTTTTGGATGGAATGCCACGTTGCAGCACCGGAAAATGATCCATTTCTTTTTTTACCCAATATATTTAAAAGAAACCACCACGAGACCCAAATTTCAAGAGTTGTGGACGGTTTGCTGCGTACGTTTCCATATCTCTATTCTAGCATTTCACAACCATTTCAACTGATACGTATTTACAGAATAAAACCAAAAGAAAAGCCAAAAGAAATCCATGCTAAGGAAATAAATATTGGCCAACTGATCATTTGCACGTCAATTTCTCTAACATGTTTTCTGAAGAGTGATAGTAGGCTATAATTATGTAGTTTAGCTACTATTTGCACTCTAACTTAGCTGCACTTTATTGATATTTGAATGTTAAATGATAACAAATTGCTCTAATTAAAAACTTTATGCTTTGCCGGAGTAATTCCGGGATATGAGGACGTTAAAGAGTGTTTTGGAGCTAATATGGAGCATTGAAGGCCAATTGAAGGTTAGCACACTTAAAAAGAAGAAAGAAAAAAATTCCAGCAGAAAATCCTCCAAGTGTGCGGTCTATGCACGGCCGCGCACTAGGGTCGCGCATGTCAGGCAAAAACTGGCCAAAGTGCGCGGTTGATGCGCGGCCGCGCACATGCTTCTGAGAAAAATCATCCAAGGCCAATGTTGTAATTCGAAAGGCCACTAACCTTGACCTATATGAAGCCCAGCTCACCTAAAAAGAGGATATCTCTATTTTTAGAAGAACTTTGGAGGCAAGAACACAAAAGGAGCAAGACGGAGAATTCTCCTACGAGTTTTTTATCATCTTCTTCTTAATTTCATTGTTGCTTATGACTTTTTATATTGTAATCTTGCATAGTAGTATGAGTAGCTAAACTCGTCATCTAGGGTTGATGGAACTAATTGTTGGATGAAGTCTTGATTATATTTTGATATAATTGAGCCGTTTTTACTCTATAATTGTTCAACTATGTGTTTCTTGTGATTAACTGAAAGAGCCCTTGATTAATCGTGTCTAGTTGTCTAGTGTTGCTTGAGAAAGAACATTTGATTAGATTGTTGTTGATCTAACGCCACTTTCGAGTAAGTTAAGAGATCAATTACTTGAATTTAAAAGCGGGATTTGAGATAACGAAGCTTTGGTGTGATATTTATGAGTTGTACAAATTGTCAACTAGAGTAGTTCGAGAGAATGCTTCTAGTAAATTATCGTAATTGATCGAGAGATAAGTACGGTAAGCAAGAACTCATCATCTTTATAGAGTGCTATGGCAAGATTATAGCTAACGTGTCAGGAATTAATCCGACAATTGGGAAAATTAATAACCTTAGATTCATTTACCCTTGAATTCAACTTCATTCTTGCTTATTGATAGTTTTTATTGTCATTTTTCCTTAGTTAAATAATTTCTGTTAATTTTCAAATAAAATCTCGAACTCTGAAAATTGTCTAAGCTTATCATTAGCGATACTAAAAGTTGTAGCAAATAGGCTAGTTCCCTGTGAGATTCGACTCCGGACTCTTGAATCGGATTATTTTTGCAGCGACCGCTTAGTCCTTTTTATAAGGCATAGTTGGGCGTGACCAAAATTTGGCGTCGTTGTCGGGGAACTAATGGTGTTATTTATTATAACTTGGAAGAATTGCTAGGATTTTTAGTTTAGATCATTTTTCTGTGGTGCTAAAAATATTTCCATTGAAATTCTCACGTTTGAACTCTTCTGTGACTCAGGTACATGCCTAGAAGCTCCTTGAGAACTGGTGAACGTTTTGAAGGACTCTCAGATCCTGAGAAAGCATTCAGGGCATTGAATCGGGCTAACAAGAAGGGCAAATAGCTAAAACAAGAAGAACTATTCAAAATTGAAATGGACGACGTCGAGAACGTCAACGAGAACAATAGGAATGATCGAGTTGACCCAAACATCAAAGTGGTAGCACCTCTTGTGCCGGAAGCTGCTCTATATGATTGGGCGCAACCAAGTGCTGATAACCTAGCCACCGCAATTGCAGTCCCTCCGATACAAGAGGAGACGTTTTAGATTACCAACAACATGTTGCACTTGCTGCAAAATAAAGGGTTGTTCTCTGGGTCGTACATCGAAGACCCACAACAATATCTGAAGAACTTTCTATCAATTTATGTCACTCAAAGACAACCGAATGTGACTCCTGAAGCAATCGGATTATTATTGTTCCCATTCTCAGTGACTAGAGAGGCTAAAACTTGGCTGAATTTGCTCCCAATAAACTCCATTGCTACTTGGGAGGAACTAGTCAAGCAGTTCTTAAACAAGTTCTATCCACCTAACAAAACTGCGAGGCAAATTGATGAAATATTGCAATTCAGGCAGAAACCGACTAAAACCTTACAGGAAACCTAGGAGAGGTTTAAGGGTATATTGGTGAAGTGTCCACACCATGGCATCCCAGATCAGATGCTTGGACACAGATTCTATATGGGTTTGGCTGACGGTCTGAAGGCCAATGTAGATGCTTCAGCTGGGGTGCGTTCTTGAGCAAAACATTCACAGAGTGTAAGATTCTTTTTGACAAGATGGCTCAAAACTCAGGCTGGATGACGAGAGGTACAACACTCACTCCAATAGTGCATTCTGTTGCTCTTGACCCAAACAATACAAATGCAAAAAACATAGCCACTCTCAAGACCCAGATGAGCTTGTTAACAAGAAAATTGATGAGATGGGTACGAAACAGGTGCACATTGATGATACGACAAATGGAGGCATATGCACTCCCTGCATAAATCAGTCATATGTTTGCTCGTGGAGTGGAGAGAATGATAACCAGGGCTTCAGAGAAGACATGAATTACGTCAATAATTTTGGGGGCAGAGGCAAGGTGGACAGCAATAGGGACCTCAAAATCAGCAGTACAGACCAACCCAACAACAATATAATACCATTCCAGGGGGAGCACGACCACAAGGCCAATTCGTGCCTTATCAAAGGCAGCAGGGCTACAATCAGCAACACTAACAACAGTTGGCTTACCAACCGCCTCATCAACAGCAGGACAGTAATATGACAGAAATCAAGGGCATGCTGCAACAACTCATTGGGACAAATGGAAAGATGCAAGAAAAGTTAGCCGCACATGATTCGGCTATTAAAGGCATTGAAACTCAATTAGGCCAGTTATCTATGGCCTTGAACAATCGCCCACAAGGAACGTTGCCTGCAGACACAAACATCAATCCAAATGAGCAGAACCCAAATCAGCTAATGGCAGTGAGTCTCAGGAATGGAAGGGATTTATACAGAGAGCAAGAAATTGCTCAATCTAGGAGAGACGCAGTGCCAATTACTCCAGTGACATTAGAGACCGACGAATCAACAGAGCTCACAGAGGTTGTAATTGAACAAGCACAAGTTGACAAAGGCAAGGAGAAGGAATTTGAACAACTCCTAGAACGTGTGGTGGAAAAGGTCCCTAATAAAGAAAAGACACCAAGCAGTGGGCAGAAGCTAACTCCTGCACCATTCCCTCAAAGGTTGGCAACGCAAAGGAAAGATGATCAATACAGGAAATTCATGAAAATGCTGACACAAATTCAATTGAATATTTCGCTGATGGATGCTTTGAGGGAAATGCCAGGCTATGCAAAAATGATGAAGGATCTGATGTCTCAAAAATTTGACTTCCAGGACCTGTCTACTGTAACTCTAACTCAAACCTGCAGTGTTGTAGTGACAAGACCTATGGCTCAAAAATTGTCTAATCCTGGTAGTTTCACTATCCCATGCACAATTGAAAGTTATGCTTTTTCTAAAGCATTGTGTGACTTGGGAGCCAGTATCAACTTGATGCCTTTGGCAATCTACACAAAATTAGGCATTGGCAGAGCTAGACCGACCTCAATGTTGCTGCAACTGGCTGATCGCACAGTCAAAAGGCCGACAAGAATTCTGTATGATGAGCTCGTCCAAGTGGGGAAGTTTGTATTTCTCGCCGACTTTGTTATTCTTGACTTTCAAGTTGACGAAGAAATACCAATAATTTTGGGAAGGTCGTTCTTAGCCACTGGGAGAGCATTGATCGATTGTGAGACTGGAGAGTTAAAAATGAGGTTGAATAATGAAGAAATAATATTCAATGTTCAACAATCTATGAGGAGGCCCAGCGAATTTGCGAATTGTTCGCTAGTGAAGGCAGTGGATGTAATACTATAAGAGGAGGATGAGACCCTTAATGTCAAAGATCCGTTAGAAGCTTGCTTGATGAATTTCGAAGATTTGGATAGTGAAGAGTTGGCAGAGTGGGTCATGGCTCTCAAAAGTCAAGGGTTCTTGAAAAGGGAACCCCAGTTCAAGCCACTACACTTAGAAAAAAAGAGCAACACCACCTGCAAAGCCATCAATAGAGGAGCCACCACAGTTGGACCTGAAACTGCTTCTAGATCACCTCGGGTATGCTTTCTTAGGGCCTAACTCTACTTTACCTATTATTATATCATTCGGTTTGTTAGTTGTGCAGGTAGAACAACTCCTACAGGATTTTGTAAGCACAAGATTCTCTTGGAAGAGGGGCACAAACCTTCCAGAGAACATCAAAGAAGGCTGAACCCGAACATGAAAGAAGTGGTGAAGAAAGAAGTGATCAAGTGGTTAGATGCGGGTATCATCTTCCCCATCTCTAACGGTAACTAGGTCAGCCCAGTTCAGTGTGTGCCAAAGAAGGGTGGAATGACGGTCGTGCAAAATGATAATAACGAGTTAATCTCGACTCGTACAGTCACAGGTTGGCGAATTTGCATAGATTATAGAAAACTGAACACAGCCACCCGAAAAGACCATTTCCTCTTTCCATTCATTGACCAAATGTTGGATAAGTTGGCTGGACAGTCTCATTTCTGCTTTTTAGATGGATATTCAGGGTATAATCAGATCTCAATAGCCCCTGAAGATAGAGAGAAAACATCCTTTACTTGTTCGTATGGCATCTTTGCCTTTCAGAGAATGTCATTTGGCCTGTGCAATGTACTGGCTACATTGTAGAGGTGTATGTTAGCCATTTTCACCGATATGGTGGAGGATATTATGGAAGTTTTTATGGATGATTTCTCAGTGGTGGGGGATTCTTTTGAAGACTGTCTTCACAATTTAAGAAGAGTGTTAAAAAGGTATGTGGAGACAAATTTAGTGCTGAACTGGGAGAAGTGCCATTTTATGGTGTAAGAAGGTATAGTGTTGGGGCATCGAGTGTCCAGTAAAGGTATTGAGGTCGACCATGCTAAGGTTGACGTTATTGAGAAGTTTCCACCGCCCACTTCGGTCAAGGCAGTGAGAAGTTTTCTTGGGCACGCCGGGTTCTACAGATGATTTATAAAAGATTTCTCTAAAATTGCTAACCCCTTATGTAAACTCCTTAAAAAGGATCATCCCTTTGTGTTCTCTGATGATTGCAGGTTGGCATTTGAGGAGCTGAAGAAGAGACTGGTGACTGCACCAATCATCATTGCACCCAACTGGGAGCAGCCGTTCGAGCTCATGTGTGACGCGAGTGACTATGCTATAGGAGCAGTCCTGGGGCAGCGAAAGTACAAGCCGGTGCACCCAATTTACTATGCAAGAAGAACACTAAGCGGTGCACATCTCAATTATACTGTGACTGAGAAAGCGATGTTGGTTGTGGTGTTTGCATTTGACAAATTCAGGTCTTATTTGATTGGTTCAAAAGTGATTATTTATACTGACCATGTAGCACTTATGTACTTGATAGCAAAGAAGGAGTCAAAGCCACGCTTGATCCATTGGGTTATATTGCTACAAGAATTCGATTTGGAGATCTGCGATAGGAAAGGGACAGATAACCAAGTGGCAGACCACCTTTCAAGGGTGGAGGGAGCTAAAAAGAAAGTTGAGGTTGAAGATATAACTGAGACATTCCCGGATGAACAATTACTAGCAGTGGAAATAGAGGAGACGACATGGTATGCTGATATTGCTAATTATTGGTCAAGCGGTATTGTACCTTATGAACTCTCTTCGATTCAAAAGAAAAAGTTCTTTCGTGATTGTCGGTCTTATTACTGGGATGAACCTTTGCTTTTTAAAATATGTGTAGATAACATGATCCGGAGGTGTATCCCCGAGAAAGATCAATCTTCTATTTTGCAGGCTTGCCATGCTTCACCATATGATGGGCACTTTAGAGGAATTCGGACAGCGGCGAAGGTGTTGGAGTCGAGTTTGTATTGGCCGACTTTATTCAAGGATGCCCATGCTTGGGTGAAAAGTTGTGATGAGTGCCAAAGGACATGCAACATATCTCGCCATCACGAGATGCCGATGACTACAATTCAAGAGGTGGAAGTATTTGACATGTGGGGGATTGATTTTATGGGACCATTTGTCATCTCGTATGGTAACAAGTACATATTGGTAGGAGTTAACTATGTCTCCAAATGGGTTGAAGTTGTGGCCCTTCCAACAAATGATGCCAAATGAGTGACAGGCTTTCGAAAGAAAAATATTTTCACACGTTTTGGCACTCCAAGAGCTATAATCAGTGATGGTGGAACCCATTTTTGCAATAGAGTGTTTGCAAGGCTGTTCGAAAAGTATGGAGTTCGCCATAAGGTTGCGACACCTTACCACCCACAAACGAGCGGGCAAGTGGAAATGTCCAACAGGAAAATCAAAAGTGTCCTGACCAAAATAGTGAATACGACAAGAACTGATTGGGCAAAGAAGTTGGATGATGCATTATGAGCGTACCACACAGCATTTAAAACTGCAATTGGTATGTCTCCATATAAGTTGGTGTTTGGAAAAGTATGCCATCTTCTGGTAGAACTTGAGCATAAAGCCTTATGGGCACTGCGGCAGTTGAACTTGTATATGGAAACCGCAGGCACAAGTAGAGTCATAGAGCTACATGAACTCGAGGAATTCTGGTTCCATGCATTCGAGAATGCAAGATTGTACAAAGAAAGGATGAAGATGACACATGATAAGCACATTCTAGATCGGAACTTCAAACCCGGAGATCTAGTGTTGTTATACAACTCGAGATTAAGATTGTTTTCGGGTAAGCTAAAATCTAGATGGTCAGGACCATTTAGAGTTGTGTCCGAAGATGGAACGAATAGGTTTAAAGTGAATGGGCAAAGTTTGAAACACTACCTTGGAATGGCTAAAGAAAAAGGGGAGAAAGTTGTGATGTATTTGGAAGAACCCCAATATGTGACCGAAGTGCAATCATGAAAGCCCGTGTCGTGCCGCGATGTTAAATCAGGCGTTTCTTGGGAGGCAACCCAATATTTTTTCTTTGTTCTTATTTTTTGTTTTTGATTTTGAACGGTGAAAGTATTGACAGGTCTATTAGTGTGCGGGGATGAAATTGTGCGTGACGGAAGGACTCAGGGTGAAGAAATCCATCCGGAGATAGGTAAAAAGTGGCTAAAAGGGAGAAATTTTGAAGGACAAACATGTGTGGCCACGCACAGGCCGCGCACTTTTGGACCCCTACTGTTGCACATGCGCGATCGCACACTGACTGCGCATTTTTTAACCTCTACTGCCCCACATGCGCGGCCACGCACTGACCGCGCATTGGGCAACGTTTTTAGGTTATTTCATTAGTTAATTTNCTCTATTCCTCACAAGCTTCTTCAGGTAAGTGCCATGGCTTCTATTTTCCTTTTCCTTCAGTTTCTATTTTTTTAGTTTTTTTAATTTATTTTATTTTCTTTTTCTCTTTTAATTGTATGGTAGTATAAGTCATTGTTGTTCTTTTCTTTGCTTTGTATTACTAAGTATACTTGTTGGTATATGAGGATAGTGGAATTTTATCTTGTTGGGTTGGATTAGACATTGTTAAGATTGTGATGGAATTGAGGTATAATTAGGTGTTTGGGGAATTTGGGGTGAATTTGCACATCAAGTATTTGTTTAAATTCCACAGTGAGTTCGTGAATGCAATTTGTGACCAATTGTGCGGGTGAAGTCTGAGTAACCACTATTGATCCACACATCCCGCCTTGTACTGATAATGGTATTTGTTTTATAGTTACTATGACACCCTCAAAGAAAAGACGAACCATGGACACCTCTTCTAGTGGTCATGCAGGATCGTCCCGGGCACGGGCCCCAACCAATGCACCTCAGTTCGATAGCACAAGATTTATATAAAGCTCAGCCCAGGAACGTTTTAGTTAGAAGGCTCCTAAGAAGCCCATACAAGAACGGGGTGTTGATAGGGGGTCCCTACAGATTGATTGCCCCAATATGTATCAGGAGTTAGTTCGACGCAGGCTGGATATTTTCTTTGAAGAACCTGAGGAAGACAACTTGATGGTTGTACGAGAGTTCTACGCGAACTGCTCTAAACATGAGGACCACATTTGCACTATGCGACAAAAGAGTGTTGATGCATCGATAGATGCCATTAGGAGGGCGTATCGGCTGCCAGTAATTGGTGGGGAGAAAGACTATTATGATACGTATAGCCGACAACCAACCTCCTGGAACTTGTTTTTTAGAACAATATGTGTGCCAAACAAAGATATAGTGTGGGTTACGCTTGGGCAGAAGTTTCACTCAGCCTCACTCACCTTTGAAGGGAAGTGTTGGCTTTATATCATCAATAGCCGCCTATTGCCTTCCTCCAACACCACTGAGGTGAATGGTCCCAGAGCTGCATTGATCTGGTGCTTCATGAATGGTCACGATTTTGATGTGGCTAAGGTTATTCACGGCGAGATGTTCATCTGTTGTCTAGTACAGAGGTATGGGTTCTTCTTCCCTTCACTAGTCACTAGATTATGTCGGGCAACACGGGTGCCGGAGAACAAGAACGTGGATGGAAGAGTGAAAAAAGAACCAAAGTTTCGGGCAGATAAAGTGACCATTGGGAAGGATCCTGTGGTACCTGGCAGAGCTAATAGTGATGAGTCTAATGCGCCAGATGAGGTGTAGTTAGTTTTTTTTTAATTTTTTTGTTTTTAAGTTAGGAACCCTTGGGCTATGGGCTGAATTGGAAATAGGATCTCTTAACTTCGTTATGCCTTGAATATAGCGGGTACTTTAGTGTGATGCTTAGGCTCAATTATTGATTCTTGTAAGGGTGCCTTAAATTGTATGTTTTTAACTTGGTTTAAGTACCCTGACTAGAGTGTTTTGATGATCCAATCTGGAGTGACTCTTGTGCCATGTGTGTGGGAGGCTTGTTGTATTCTGTGCACTGCATTTGATGCCTAGAACTTGCCCCGTATATTTGCAAAGCGAAATAGTAGTCTTGTTCAGTCTTGGAAGTGATATAGGCATTTCTTTGTTGAGCCATATATATATTCCACCCGCCTAATTGTTATGTATCATAGTTAACCTCTTTGAGCATGTAATCCTGTTTCTTTGGAAACCACATTACAAGCCTTACCCCTTTGTTTGAATTAACCATCTATTTGAACCTGTTCACCTCTCATGGGCACTTGAATTGCTCTGAACTTGTAAAGGTTAAAGTGTGGGGTGGTTGGTGGGGCTTTTGAGTGGAACTAATGAAATAAGGAGAAAGGTGCACTGTGTTGAAAAAAAAAAGAATAATAATTGTATTGTGGTGAATAATATTCCTTTGGTAACTTTTGATGTAATTGTGCTTAAAGAAGTATGGGGTAATATACGTTGATGTGAAGATGAAGTGTTGGTTTGACATAAGTATGGACTTGAATGTTAAAGTATATGTATTAAAGTGCTTAGGGAGGTGTAGTCACTCTTATATCCAAATATATCATACCCGACCCATAGCCTACATTACAACCAAATAGTCTTACTTGATCCTAGACTGAATGAGCTCGATTAGTAGAGTAGTACAATACGGGCAAGCCTATGGAGCATCTTTTGTGGCACAAGAATATCGTTTCTAAGGGTGAGTGAATTCTGTCTATTTTGAAGTCCCTCATTGTGCATGAATTTTATTGATTGTGGAATGAGTCTCTTTTGTTGTGAGCAGGCACTTGATTCATAAAGGAAAGGTAATTATTGACCTCTGCGTTAGAATAAGTGAGTAAGATAGGAATATTGCGTGGTGCGTGGGAGTCAACTCTTGAAGTGAAGATGTTATACTACTGTGCTCAATCTATATGAAATATTCTTGGTTTGATGAGTTAGAGAAGTCACTTAGTGAAGTTAGGCCTCTATAGAGTGTGGTTTGATTGCTCGGGAATGAGCAATGGTTTAACTGTGGGGTATTGATAGTAGGCTATAATTATGTAGTTTAGCTACTATTTGCACTCTAACTTAGCTGCACTTTATTAATATTTAAATATTAAATGATAACAAATTGCTCTAATTAAGAACTTTATGTTTTGCAAGAGCAATTCCGGGCTATGAGGACATTAAAGAGTGTTTTGGAGCTCATATGGAGCATTGAAGGCCAATTGGAGGTTAGCGCGCTTAAAAAGAAGAAAGAAAAAAATTGATGCAAAAAATCCTCCAAGTGCGCAGTCTATGCGCGGCCGCGCACTGGGGTCGCGCATGTCAGGTAGAAACTGGCCAAAGTGCACGGTCGATGCGCGGCCGCGCACGTGCTTTCGAAAAAAATCATCCAAGGCCAATTTTGTAATTTGAGAGGCGACTAACCTTGACCTATATGAAGCCCAGCTCGCCCAAAAAGAGGTATCTCTGTTTTTAGAAGAACTTAGGAGGCAAGAACACAAAAGGAGCAAGACGGAGAATTCTCCTATGAGTTTTTCATCTTCTTCTTCTTAATTCCATAGTTGGTTGTGACTTTTTATATTGTAATCTTGCATAGTAGTATGAGTAGTTAAACCCGTCATCTAGGGTTGATGGAACTAATTGTTGGATGAAGTCTTGATTACGTTTTGACATAATTGAGCCGTTTTTACTCTATAATTGTTCAACTATGTGTTTCTTGTGATTAATTGAAAGGCCCCTTGATTAATCGTATTTAGTTGTCTAGTGTTGCTTGAGAAAAAATACTTGATTAGATTATTATTGAACAACGCCACTTTCGAGTAAGTTAAGAGATTAATTACTTAAATTTAAAAGCGGGATTAGAGCTAATGAAGTTTTGGTGTGATATTTATGAGTTGTACAAATTATCAACTAGAGTAGTTCGAGAGAATGCTTCTAGTAAATTATCGTAATTGATCGAGAGATAAGTACGGTAAGCAAGAACTCATCATCTTTATAGAGTGTTACGACGAGATTATAGCTAACGTGTCAGAAATTAATCTGACAATTGAGAAAATCAATAACCCTAGATTCTTTTACCCTTGAATTCAACTTCATTCTTGCTTATTGATAGTTTTTATTGTCATTTTTCCTTAGTTAAATAATTTCTGTTAATTATCAAATAAAATCTCGAACTCTAAAAATTGTCTGAGCTTATCATTAGTGATACTAAAAGTTGTAGCAAATAGGTTAGTTCCCTGTGGGATTCGACTCTGGACTCTTGAACCGGATTATTTTTGCAGCGACCGCTTAGTCCTTTTATAATGTATAATTGGGCGTGACCAAATAGCAATAAACTAGGTACTAGAAAAATAAAATTGGAAAACTGCAACTAACATATATATGCAAATCTGAATATTATGTAAGTGCTTTAGTCTTTGATTTCCAGTTTTACTCGTGTCATCTTGTATACAAATAACTTGGGATTATTTAGTGTCACGGACTGGACAGTGGCAGTCATGTTACTGTCGATTCATTTATTGATGCTACCTATATTACAAAATAGAATATATAAACAGTAACTATCTATACTAATTATAATAGCATGAAAATCTAACAGAAGATTAAATGTTGATCGACTTATTAGCTTTCGTAAGTGCAATTCATATGTGATAAAATTATATTTGTTAATCCCGCCAATATTGCTGTATTTGTAAATAATAATTTTGTGAAATATAAGTTATCGTAATGAAACGGTAATTAATTCGAGCCCACTGAATTCACAGTGTCTCCTTAAGGAATTTAATTCTCTCCTAGTACCCAAGGTTATAGATTATTTCCTCCCAGGATAGAACGAATCGCACACCGGTGTAGCGGTACTTCAAACCCCAGTGTTTCAGCGAACACAAAGTTCGGTAGCAAATCACACTTACAGTTGCTTTGTTTGAAGTTAAAACAATGCAGAACAAAGGAGTAGAAGCTCAGAAAATCGTATGGAAATATTGAAAGGAAGGAGTGCAATGTATAGCCAAAGTTGAGCGTTTTCAGTTTTGTGTGTCTTTCTTCAACAGCTGCTG